CCCCCCAAACACCCTTAAATTTCCTCCACTAAAAGAATTTTGTCATTGATTGCAATCGTGAGTTTATAAAAAATACTTTCATATTATGTGCCTAAAAAATTCTAATAGGCTACTCATTGGCTGAGAACTTGCACTTCCAATAACATTGTTCAATCTCATCAAAATATCAGTTGTCATCAAGTAATATCAATTTTCAAAAAAAAAAAACACAAGCCCAACACTCAAAGCCAATTTTGTGGTCTAAAAAAGATGTTATGGCTAGACTTTTTAATAGAAATCTCATCAAAGTGCCTATAAAGCGCAACTCTTCTATAAATTTTAAAAGTCAATGATATTCCACATAAGAACTATCCATTTTTAAATTTTTTATCATAATCATAGTGTAATATGAGTGCGGGTCCCTATGGTGTGCCTCTAGAAAAATGACTGATAAAATATTTGTGATATTATTATGTCTATCAGGGACAAGTATCTAAATTTCTACTATACTGACTCTCTCAATTTAATCATGATATATATGCATGGCACATCATTTTTTGTGTCGATTATTACAATATCCACAAGGCAAATTTATAGATTGCCATTTTTAGCTACTCCCTCAAGCAAAAAAAAAAACTTTATATTGTGAATCCATAAACAGTTTGAACAATGTCCAAACATAGCTTGAATACTTGTTCGAGCGCTTGTTCAAATCATATTTAACTATTTATTTGAATATGGTTAAAATAAAGCTCAAGTAACAATCAAATAATATAATTTGAAAGAAGTTTGAATGTTTAGCTAAACATATTTAAATCGTGTACAATCATAATTTGAAGTAGCTTCAGGCATAGCTCTAACGCATATCCTAATAATGTTGGAAACACACTCTTTAATCTAGCTTTGTAGTAAAACTCCAATGATATATGAAAAAAATTATTATAAAAAATAGTATCCATGCCTGTTAAAATCACTGAAGAATGATAAAATCTCAAACTTCACAGGTACAACCATATTATTCTTCTGAGCAAGAAAATCTCAAACAAGAATAATGCTAATATAGCACTGAAGAAAGCCGAAGTGAGAAAGAGCGGGACATCATTCTTCCCATTCATCAGGATATGAGAATAGAGTGTGTTTTATTTCAAAATGAACGTTCAGACATATATCAGCAATAAAACAAACAAAATAATTTTTTTTGTTAAAAAGTAGGAAGATTTATCTACAGGTGCACTTTTACTAGCATTTTTACGGAAATGTTAGCAATAATTCCCGTTGAAATATTCCGAGAACAGACCTATGAAGCGAAGACGAGAGAGGAGCCTCATCCCCATTCAGTTCAGATACCATTTTACTACGGGAGCAGACCGACAAGGCCCCTTCCAAGACATCGCGCCGGCCGTAGCGTCTCGGGTCTCGAACCCCGTGGAGGATTGGAGGATTGGAAGCTAAAACGTGCATTCCGGAGAGAAATGCTGCCAGATTCTGTAATCAGCCCAGTAACAGAGCAAAATTAAGAGAAGTTAGGGATAGAGCTTCAAGGAATTCTCTGAAAGAGACGAGTTCGGAATTTAGAGACGGCGAAGTGAACTCTGACTAGTCACTACTCACCAAAAATATTGGGGGGCTGTCATTCCGGTTAATATCCTAAATAATTTTCACACACGAGCGCCGAGTCTACAAAATGTATTGCTAGATTATTTATTGAGATATTCTTGGGGTATTTGGATAACTCTCAATAACTGAATTATTGAAAGATTATTTGAGGTCACACGATTGCATGCATATAACTTACGTAAATAAGGCTCTCGTCAAAAATTATTCACCACTGATGGGAAAGAAAAAATATTACATGAGAACTCCGCACGTAATTACGCCGTAGAAGTGATCGGTCTGGTAACACAAGAAATATTCTCCTCGTGTTATTCTGTGTTATTCAGGTGTTATTGTAGAATATTCTCCTCGTGTTATTCCATGTTATTCAGGTGTTATTGTATATTATTTAGGTGTTATTGTGTTCTGGGAATATTCTCGGTGTTATAATAACATAATAACACATCAATAATACTTGAAAAATACACAACAACACTTGAATAACACACAATAACACATGAATAACACGGGAGGAATATTCACTTGTGTTACTGGGCATATTTTTTTTCTACGTGACGTAATTTCATTGGACTCTGCACGTAACTCTACGTGCGAAGTCCTGATGTAATATTTTTTCAGTGAGAAAATGGATTGTTGTCTGACTTATGAGTTATGACAGGGTGCCGCTCAAGAACCGATTTTATTTTGAGAGGACTTCTCTTTTTATAATTATTTGCATTAGTTCTTTTGAAAGTCTGGTTGGTAGGATAAAAAAAAGTCACTTGCCATCTAAAATCAAAGAAAAATTATAATTCTTACAAAACAAGTTTTTTAAGAGAAGTTTCAATAAGTATCTTTGATGAAATAATTTTTTTTTTTTTGCATTTTGGGGTGCAGTGCAACTCAAAGGAGATTCATTCTCTTCTCAAACGAAGCCTTGATGGCATAAAATTGTGGTTCCTAAAGTAGATTCTTGTATTTGAATGAAAATAATACATGTGTTTTTTAACACTATTATTTATGATCAATTTAATATAACTACCATATCTAGTACCACTAAATTATTTTTAAATAAAAAAATTTAAATACGAGTAAATCCGAATTTACCGATCCACATAATGCTAAATTCAAAATATTGTTACATTTAAATTAGTTTGACATGTTTAGCATGTTATTTTAGAATTTCACTTAAAAATTGAACGGCAATTAATCTTCAAAGAATCTAAATATAGAGTACAAGACTCACATCACTAGGGTTGAGTATTTGGTTGGTTCGAATGGATCGGTCTTAAAAATTAATCAAAGCGATTGCAACCAAAATAAAGAATCTAAAAAACTTAACCAATTTAAATTTTGATAAAACCGAACTAATCAAACCGAAATTTAATTCCGTTTAAACGGTTCGATTATGAGCAAACCAAAATTTAATTATTTATTAGAGTTTGCTAAGAACAAACATTACAAATTACATAATTTACATACATAATATCAATTTAATTTTATGAATCATCTATTTATTTCAATCAAATGTTACATATAGTAAATTTTTTTTATTTTTATAGCTTTTTCGATATGAAATTAAAATATAATAAATAATTTTAATAAAATTTTGATTTGTTAAAAATTTTAAAATATTTTTATAAACAATGCACACCTCTACACATCACAGCAAAATTTTAAAATATTTTAAAATTTTGATGACATATCTAGAACTAAAAAATAACTTTTTTAATGGAATTTGTGAGGCAGTGCTGAGGAACTCTTTACCATCCTTAGCTCCATCTCCAACGCATCTCTTCTCCATTGGAAGCTCCCTAATGCAAAGCCCTCATACGGATTGTTTTCATCACATTGTTTCACCTATTTTTCTTGTAACTGTGAGACAACCACCTATTTTTCTTCTCAATTGGAAGCTCCCCATTGCCAAAGGAAAAAAAAAATAATAAGAAAAAGAACAATTCGTTTGAACGACAATTTTTCTTCTTCAACGCTTGCCTCAACAATCAACTAAAAAGGGTAATAAAGATATTTTCAATGAAGAAACACTGAATTGAGCATGAAGGCGACACTGAGATCGTGATCTGAAACGGGAGAAAATATTATTACAGTAGGGAGAAAATTTAAAAAAAAAAAATATCTAACGAAACCACAGTGTTTTATATGCTTCCATAGAATAAAATGGATTCGAACACATCCTTGATATGTATCAAATTTATATATTATATTTATGTTATTTTTATATTTATTTGTGTATTTTTATGTTTAATGTGGGTATTCTAGTGTTTTACGTAGTATACAGGTGATTAGGCAACTTGCGGATAAAATAAGCTGAAACAGAGCGCTTAAGGGTTGTACGGGCGCCCCCATTCCCAGTATGAGCACTCCCTTATCTATATTGGGTGCCTATGGTTCTGAAGACAATGCCCAGACACCCAACACCAAATTTGGGTGCCTAGAAGCCCAAAGACAGAGCAACATCCACTTGGGGGCAAGGCAAGTTTTAGGTGCCTAAACGCTCAAATATGTGTTTTGGCAATTTGCTTGCTTCGTTTTGCATCTGAGGAGATAAATTAGCCTGGTACAAAGAATAGAGGGAGTTCGGAAGGTTAAAGTTGAACTTTCATGAATAAGCACATCCAGATAAGGGAGGACAATGCATAAGACTCCAAGGAGGATACTCTATCACTGTGAGAGAGTGTGTGAGGCTTTGAAAGGGGAGTAAGGGAGTAAATTTCTTGTGATGAAGTGATTCTGCTTGGTGTATTGAGAGTGTATAAGAGAGAAGAAGTGAGTGGAGATCATTTTACAGAAGAGAAGATTTAGTGGAGCGAACAACTTCTCTTTATAGTGAGATTGTTCCTATGCAAACTCTTTTTGATTTACCGTTTCAATGAAATCATTACTTTTCTCTCAGCATATGCAACAGTTAACTATTTTTCATACTCATCTGTGTTGGAGATACGATGAATCATGTTTTCTCCATACAATTTTTCTAGTTTATTTGAGAATTTGTAAAAAATTGACGTGTTATCTTCTTTATATTCTCTTACATTCAATCTCATCAATTGAAATCACTTAAAAATTGGTCAAAGCGATTGCAACCAAAATAGATAATCCAGAAAACTGAAACTATTTAAATTTTGATAAAACCGAACTAATCAAACCAAAATTTAATTGGGTTTAAACAGTTTGATTATAAGCAAACCAAAATTTAGTTATTTATTAGAGTTTAACTAAGAACAAACATTACAAATTACATAATTTACATACATAATATCAATTTAATTTTATGAATCATCTATTTATTTCAATCAAATGTTACATATAGTAAATTTTTATTATTTTTATAGCTTTTTCGATATGAAATTAAAATATAATAAAGAATTTTAATAAAATTTTGGTTTGTTTGGTTGAATGAAGATTAAAACCAAATCGAAAATCGAAAACCAAATATTAATGTTTTAAAAACCAAAAATCGAAATTCATTTTTGAAGCCGAACCAAACCAGTCAAACTTAATATGTTTGATTCGATTTTTTGATTTTGACCAAACAATGCACACCTCTACATATCACAGCAAATTTTTAAAATATTTTAAAATTTTGATGACATATCCAGAACTAAAAAAAAAGTTTTTTAATTGAATTTGTCATGCAGTGCTGAGGAACTCTTTACCATCCTTAGCTCCATCTCCAATGCATTTCTTCTCCATTGGAAGCTCCATAATGCAAAGCCCTCATACGAATTGTTTTTATCCCATTGTTTCACCTATTTTTCTTGTCATGGTGAGACAACCGTCATAAATGAACTCTAAAAATAGCCTATGTATTTTATAAGAAAAAGAACAATTCGTTTGAACGACAAAGAACATAGGCTATTTTTCTTCTTCAACACTTGCCTCAACAATCAACTAAAAAGGGTAATAAAGATATTTTCAATGAAGAAACATTGAATTGAGCATGAAGACGACACTGAGATCTTGATCTGAAACGGGAGAAAATGTTGTTACAGTAGAGAGAAATTTTCAAATAAATTAAATATCTAACTAAACCCCGGTGTTTTATATGCATCCATAGAATAAAATGGATTCGAACCTTGATATGTATCAAATTTACATATTATATTTATGTTATTTTTATATTTATTTGTGTATTTTTATGTTTAATGTGGGTATTCTAGTGTTTTACGTAGTATACAGGTGATTAGGCAACTTGCGGATAAAATAAGCTGAAACAGAGCGCTTAAGGGTTGTACGGGCGCCCCCATTCCCAGTATGAGCACTCCCTTATCTATATTGGGTGCCTATGGTCCTGAAGACAATCCCCAGACACCCAGCACCAAATTTGGGTGCCTAGAAGACCGAAGACAGAGCAACATCCACTTGGGGGCAAGTGTTAGGTGCCTAAACGTCTGAATATGTGTTTTGACAATTTCCTTGCTTTGTTTCGCATCTGAGGAGATAAATTAGCCTGGTACAAAGATTAGGGGGAGTTTGGAAGGTGAAAGTTGAACTTTCATGAATAACCACATCCAGATAAGGGAGGAAAATGCATAAAACTCCGAGGATACTCTATCACTGTGAGAGAGTGTGTGAGGCTTTGAAAGGGGAGTAAGGGAGTAAATTTCTTGTGATGAAGTGATTCTGCTTGGTGTATTGAGAGTGTATAAGAGAGAAGAAGTGAGTGGAGATCATTTTACAGAAGAGAAGATTTAGTGGAGCGAACAACTTCTCTTTATAGTGAGATTGTTCCTATGCAAACTCTTTTTGATTTACCGTTTCAATGAAATCATTACTTTTCTCTCAGCATATGCAACAGTTAACTATTTTTCATACACATCTGTGTTGGAGATACGTGAATCATGTTTTCTTCATACAATTTTTCTAGTTTATTTAAGAATTTGTGAAAATTTGATGTGTTATCTCCCTTATATTCTCTTACATTCAATCTCATCAATTGAAATGTTAAAACCTCTCGTGATCTAGGAACTTTGACTATTGACTAGAAAAA